ACAAAAAGTTTCCTCAGCTTCCTTTGGGTTATTAGTGTGCTAACAAATGACCAGGATGCGAACGCTAAGACTAGTCAAACATTTCCTGGGCTACCAGTTTTTGTTGACATATAAGCAAGACATAAAGTGAATTCACTCCAGGTTCAGCCCCCAGTAATCTGTTGGTTTCCTGACCAATAATCTGTTGGTTTCCTGGCAGGTTTATCCTCATTCCGAAAGATTGAAATGCCACTCATAAGGCTAAGTTACTGGCAATAATGCTCTTCAGTAAAACTAAAATATGCTATGTTTTCCTTTTGGGATAGGTATTTTTGTACCCAACCCTTTTAGTTTTGGCAAAAGATTTCTCACCTTCCTTTTTCTTAGGGTTGGACGATTGCCCACACTGCTTGTACACTAGCTGTAAAAAGGGACAAGGGCAAAAGATGTGGGAGAGAAAGGACAGTTACTGGTGAGGGGTGTTATCAAATTCACACTTGCTTGGAAATGAATGGCGATATTTCTCTGAGGCGCAGAAAAGGGGGCAACTGCTGTTCAGAAGGACCCTTCTTGCTGCCTCAACTGAGGATTGACGTTACCCATCTTTTAAGATTGAGGACAAGTCAAATTTCAGGCTTCCACTCAGAAGAGCTTCTGCAAGAACAGTTTGAATAATGGAAGCAACCAGGTCTTGTGGCACTGTTGCCACTGATGTATTTCTAGCATAAACTTTCATAGACTCTTTTAGATGCAGGATAAGCCAAGACTTGGTTGATTTGGACCCAGCAGACTAACAAGGAGTGGTTAAACTGGACTGGGTTCCCAGCCATGAAGTTCATTGGGTGACTTTGGGACAGTCACTAACCTACCTCACAGGGTTGCTGTGAGGATAAAATAGTGAGGAGGATTATATAAACTGCCTTGTATTCCTTGAACAGGCAAAAATATCAGGATATAGATGTAGTGATAACAATCTCTGAAGTGAGGAAAAACTAGCACTTAACAAATTGTAGGTGCCAAGCAGTCTTTTCAATGTACTTTTCCCTGACTCAGCCTGGTTTTATCTCATGTCAGTTTAGAAGAGTATCAGAATTAGCTGTGGTTCTGTTTCTGTATCTCTGGTAATAAACGTTACAATGTAGAATAGAAGTGTAATAATAACTTTAAAAAATAAAAATAGCTTGACTAATTTTTGGTAGACTTCTGTTTAGACACTGCTAAAGCTCCTCTACTAAAGTTTCCTGTGACAAGAATGTGGAACCAAAAGGGAGCAGGCTAGGCTTAAAGCCAAGAGGCCAGGTGGTGAGTTCGGAAGAGCAAACAAGGCAGAGACAGGGAGTGCCACTGAGGATTATAGAGCATTGCTAAGGTACAAATCTGGTGGCTTCTCCTGTCTGTTTATACTCCAACCTCCTCCATGGGGGCTGCTGAGGAAGAAGGTGCAGGTGACAAGACCAGGGGGGGAGCAGACATAACTTTCTTGTTCCCCTGACTCATTTTGGAATCTGCAAGTGTAGGGCAGATCTCTGTGTTCTTCCAGAGCGGCCTTGTAAATTTGGGTGGATGACATTATGTTGGAGCCTGTGCATGACCTCAGAATCAAAATCCCAGACTGTCCTTCCTCCAATTAACTGACCTGGGGCCATGAGAATAGGGGACTAAAGTCTGTTTTGTTCCATGTGCCCATACCCAGAATACTGATCTTCTGTAGCATTTCCTTCTAGGGTTTTTGCTAAAAGGTTTAGTCCTGCCCCCCCCCCCACTGCTCCTTGAGATTTGAGGCAGAGGTCCTGCTCCAGAAGCCCTCCTTGAAGGAGATTAGGAGGGTGACTACCTGGAGAAGGGCCTTTTCTGTGGTGGCACCCTGACTATGGAATAGTCTCATTGTTTTCTCATTGTAAGCCGTTCCGAGATGCTAGTGGTTGGACGGGTTAGAAAAGCTTTTAATTAAATTAATTAATTAATATAGTTTGGACATATTGTCTACTGTTTCTTGGATCCAGCTCAGGACTGAAGTCAGTTTGCCAGCTGCGCACAGCACTGTTTGGCTGGAAAGGGATTCCTCCCAGTAATTTTTCATTATCCAGAAACTGATTCTGCTATTTAAAGGGTTGGGAAATGGTGCCTAGTTAATTTAAAAAAAAATGTACAGTATGCACAGAGTGTTGGCATGGTGGTTTGAGTGTTGGAGTGGGACTTGGGGAATCCAGCTTTTAGCCCCACTCAGAAATGAAACTCGCTGGGTGACTTTGGGCCAATTGCTCAGTTTTAGACCAACCTACCCTGCAAAGGGTTGCTGTTGTGAGAACCAGATGGAGCTTTGTTAACTGCTGTAGGTTCCTTGGGAGAGGAAAAGGGAGGATAAATGGAGTATGAAGATGCTGATGATGCATGTCACTGTTTAGAAAATTGAAAAAGGCAGCTCAATTGAAGCACAGTGAGAGGGGCATCCAATTTACTGAATAACCATCCAATTTACTGCCAGGTAATCCTTAAAAGGGCTTGACTTGTGAGAGAAAAAACCAGAGTGGATAAAAAACCATTATTTAAAAAAAATAAAAATTCCAATTTCTTAAAGTTTAAATTGGATTTTTAAAAAATGAAATGGTTTTGAGGAAGAATCTATCTAAATATAATTTTCTATGTAAGATACATTATAGTCCAAAGCTTACTCATCATGAAATAAGTTTTTAATTTTGTAATTATTAATTCTGTTTAATTAGTTTTTAATTATGTAGCATTAGGCTGCATATTCATGCACTGTTTGATTTTTTAAATAAATGAATTCTGTTAATCCATTCACAATGTCATGCTCTTCCAGAGGTTTCTGTAAGATTATTGGGCAGTTTTTCTATCTAGAAGATCTTATCACAGATGCTTGGTTTTACAGTTCTCAAAACTGAATTTGTGTTTGCAGAGATCATGTGCCTCTTCTTCACAACAAAAATACACATGCAGAGTTGAGAAAAAGACCTTAATCCCATTGTTCCTTTGCAAATCTATGTACATGGAATCAACCCCTTACCTGTTAAGTGCTAAGTTTCAAAAATTGAAAGAATAGAAGATTGTTGGGAGTGAAATAGATTTGCACAAGATGCAAAAGTGTGAGGAGGGAGGAGAAAGTAAAAATGAAAGTGAAACCTTTTAAGCAGAATACTCCACAAGGGTTTGGATCTTCTTGTGTATAGCCTGGGGTTTGTTATATTATTCCTTTCCTTGAGAAGAAAACCTATAATGGCAGCAGGTGTAAAAGAGACCCAGTTTGGAAATATTTTAATGAAGTTCCTCTGCCTAGGGCAAGGCAGGCAATATGTGCAAATTACACTGAAAACCATGATTTAAATGTAGCCTTACTGACTAGTGATGTTAAATTGTTATTTAAATCATGATTTTAATTTATTTAATGTAAAGCAAATCCACCCTGAGAAAATCACTTTCTCCCTTTCCTCTCTGCCCACTCCCCCCCCCCCCCACACACACAAGCCCTGAGTTCTGCAGCCGCATATCTATATCTATCTATCTAGATAGATAGAAACATAGAAACAGAGCAAGTCAGAAGGGGCCTCCCGGGCCATCTAGTGTAACCTCCGGCACCAGCCGGCTCAGCTCACGACATGCCCACCATGTGCACGTCGCCCACCATATCTCTCTCTCTCTCTGATGACTGCCTGGAGTTGCAATGAGTGCTTCTGCCAGGTATCTCTGGTTTGGTGTTCAGCTAACGAATGGTTTGCTTTAAAATTGCATTGACTGCTATCCAGTACCAGGTTTAATATGTTTAAACAGGCTTAGCTTGACATTGATGCATGGCCCTAGCATTCAATTGTTCTCTGAGAATGGGCATTCCATTTAAATTATTGAACAATTATTTCTCTGAAGTATATAATACAATGATGGTTAAAAACCACGTAAGTGACAGTACTGGCCAGTTTTTCCCACAACCTGAAATGCGTGGGATGAGGGATAGAGAAGGAGAAATAATTTAAAAGTTAAGAAGGTATTATAGTAAATTTCTAAGAAAAGAAAACACATCAATACATGTTCACTTAGGAGTGTTTTTTTGTCGTAATATAAATCTGAAATTCTTTCCCTTTTCTTTCAGTTGTACAGACAATAGTTTCTGCAGTTCAGAGTGTTAATGGTGGTGGTAAAACATAAGAATAGATTTTCTGAATCAGATTGAAGGTCCATATGGTCCAGCAAAGTCATTTTTCTAGCATAGGACAAGAAGATGCCTCTGGGAAGCTTATAACCAGGGGACGAAAACAAACCTCCCCTCCCTGTTGTTTGTCTCCACTATCTTTCACACTTAGATGGTTTTTAGAGGCTGTAATTGGACATCATGGCCAATAGCTCTTGATAGAGCACAGATGTATTAATCTTTATCTGTTACTCATGGAATTCATGTTTTAAAGGCTTGGAAATACACTCCAAAGTGAGATTGTAATAATCCTTGGTATCATGGGTGAGCAGAAGGTACATTTCTTAATTCTTTGGATTCAGCTCCTAGAGGCCCATGCCAGCCTGGCCAGTGATCAGGAGATCTACTTTCTGTCCACCCTGATGCAGAATATGGCTTTTGGGGTGGTAAGATTAGAAAAATGTGTTGATCAGAATATGAGACACTCCCAGACTGGACAAATGGACAACTTAAGAACATAAGAAAAGCCATGTTGGATCAGACTAGAGGTCCATCTAGTCCAGCATTCAGCACACACACAGGATCGCTCAAGCAGGATGGGTGCAAGACCTCTGCCTGTCCAAGCTCCAAAGCAACAGGTATATGCAGGCATGCCACCTTGGGTAAAGAAGGCAGCACACAGCCAGCAAGCCACTGGTAGCCTCCTCCCTTGTGAATCTGCCCAATCCCCTTTTAAAGTCATCCAGATTGGTGGCCATCACTACTTCCCATGGCACCAAATTCCATTGTTTAACTATATTCTGTGTGAAGAATTACTTCCTTGTATTTATTCCAAACCTCCCACCAATCAGCTTCATAACTTCTACTTGGTGTATTGCAGTAATCAGCTTTTATTGATATAGCTGTGGATGACCAGTGCCAAAATGTCTTTGTGGAGCCTCATCTCTGACATGCCTCCAGAGCGGTTCAGCAACCTCTATGAAGAGTTTCCTCGTAATGTACGGTGCCTCCTGGGGGACTGGTTGGAAAACCAGCCTTGGTAAGTCTATGGAGCAGTAGTCTTTACTAGTAGTCTTAGTCAAGTGGGGAATGTTTTCTTTTTCCTCCAGGGTGAATCCCCAGCACCACCATTCATACCCTTCATTGTTAGATTTCACCGATCCTATGCAGCATGATTGGTGCAGAGTAATGAAAGGGTGAGCAAATGTTTTGCCCTACAACTCTCATCATCCCTAGCCAACATTGCCAGTGGTGAGGGATGCTGAGAGTTGTAGGCCAGATTATCTAGAGGGCCAGAAGTTGCCCACCCCAAGTTGCCCAAATTGTAGGACTTCTGGTTTTTTCATTTTGGCAGATATCTAAACAGACATTTATTTGATTGGCACTATTCCTCTCTGTCCAGAGAAATAGCACTCAGGGTGATGGTTGCATAATGGTGCTATTAATTCTGTGGCCTCTAGGCCACAATATATTTCTCTGTAAGGCACTTGTTTTAGATGTTCATCACTGCTGTCTTGTAGAATGTTGATCAAGATGAGCCCTGATTTGATTCAGCAAGGCTGTACAAATCTGAGCAGATGAGGAACCCACCAACTTAAGGGTGCAATCTTATGTATGTTTGGAGAGCAAGAAGGCCTACAACTTTCAGCACGCCCCAGCTAAACAGATTTGGACACAGTTCTCTGCATGTTTAGACAGAAATAAGTCTTTTAATGTGCACAGGATTACACCTCTAATCTGTAGTGATCCATTCTGCCTCATGGACAGTGGCACATAACCTTAGTTAAAACCAGGGCTTTTTTTTGTCATAGAACGCACCGGAACAGCGTTCTGGCACCTTTTTTGACGGATTTTTCCAATGGAGTGATTTTGAATCTCCTGCAGGCTGCTTGTGTGTTCATGCTGATTGTGAGGGCACTGCTCAGCTTGGGACGCTGCTTGGCTTGGGATTGGTGTGTGTGGTTGCGCACTGAGTGCTTACTGCCAGTGGCGACCATTATGTGAGTTCTGGCACCTTTTTTTTTTTTTTTTACAAAAAAAGCACTTGTTAAAACCAAGTAAACCTTCCTCTAAAGCTCTTATAGTTGCATCCCTGGCAAAAGCTTTCTTTTATACCTCATGTTTTTTGGCTAAGGACAATGGCATCCATTTTATGATGCACTGGCTTGGAGAAGACTAACAATTTTATGATGTTTATGTATTTAAACGATCTGTGTGGAGAAAAAAAAATCTTGATTCAGAACTAAATGGCACTCAGTGCAGCTGACAATCGTAAGAACTTGGAAAAAAATCTCCTTTGAAAGCCAACATGTTGATGGGTCCATATTGTTGTCTGCATTTCTTAATTTTTCTGTTTCACTGTTCCCCTCCCCCATTCTTCTCAGGGAATTCATCAACAGATCAGACCATTTCTGTGTCTTTCTGGCTGCAAGGCTGTTATCTGCCATGGTGGAGAGATTACAAGATCTAGCCAACAAAAATTGCCAATCCGGGCCAATTCTTCAGCTCATTGCCAGCATTGAGGTATGCAGGGGAATGAATGTGAGTCGAACATGTCAGTATCATCAGCAGTAGCTGTGCCCCTGAGCACAGATTTTCTTGTGTACAGATGTGAAGGCCTGGAAAAAATGGGAGGGGGGAAATAGAGGGGGGAATTGTTTCCTTCCCCACCCCCATCCCCGATTTTACAAAAATCCCTGTAAAGGAACTGAAAAAAGGATCATTCCAACTTTATTTTTCTGGGGATCTTTTGGACATTCGTATCTTTTGCCTGCTCTTATCTCTTCTCATAATTGTTATTACTGTTATTTATTACATTTCTGTACCGCCTATAGCCAAAGTTCTCTCATGGCAGTTTTGATGACTAAAAAGAGTAGTCACAGACTGAATACATTTGACCTGGTTCTCTTTCAGTAACCTCAAGGGAGAGGTATTAGAGGGAAGGGAAAGCCTCCCGACCTCAGAAGGTTGCCAAACATCCCAAGAGACGAGTTGATGCACCAGGTGGTTGATATGTGAGATAGAATGGGTGGTGGAATCTTGAAATAATAGAATTTGCTCTACTGATACAGAATGTAGGTGAAAGATCATAGTTCTGAGTGTTCTAGCACAGCCTTCCCCAACGTGGTGGCCTTCAGAGGCACTTGGACTGCAGCTCCCAGAATTCCCTCCAGCAGGGCCATTGACTGGGAATTCTGGGTGTTGCAGTCCTAACATGTCTGGAAGGCACAAGGTTGGGGAAGGCTATTCTAGCACATTAAAAAAATCTCTATGCTTGTAGAAAAGTAGGACCTTCCACTTTCATGTGACAGTTTTCACAGTAAACCATGGTGGATCACATTTCCTATATAGGTAGACCAAATCTGCATCAGCCTAGGGTGGACCCTTCTGTATGGCCTTTATAAGCTTGCTGTATGGACACACTTTAGAAGGCATGGACAGGCATATCTTCCATCTCAACCTTTTGCCTCAGAGTCTCCTTTCTTCAGTAGTTCTACCTCAAACATATCTTTCAGGGACATGTTTGATCATACAGCAATTTCAGGCAGTTTCATGATGAATAGAAACAACAGGGAACTTCTCATAGGGTTGAAGAACTATTATTAACAGTATTTGTTTTCTTCCTAATAATTGCAGAATACATATCAGGGAAACCCACTGCATTTGGTAGGGGTTATAAAAGGAATCCTAGAAGGAGAACATGCAGCAGTTCAAGAAAAGGTAAGGGGTTTTTCAGCATCTGTTATCTGTAACAGAGTTCTTCCAGGACTGATGTCTCATTCTGACTCCTAAGTACCACCAGGATTACAGCATGAATGAGCAGAAAGTAGATTTTCAGATGTTTGGTACTGCTAGCATAGCCAGTAGTCAGGAATTCTGACTGTTCCAAAATAGTTGGAGCTCTACTTTTCTGCCCACTCTTGCACTTCAGTAACTAATCACTTGTCTGTCAGATTCATGAGATTCTGAAGTGGTCATTGTTTATTCCCTGTGTTCCTTAAATCTTGGCCCCTCTTTGCTGTTCATGCACAGTTATCCTGGGTCCCTTCAACATTTTTACAGCCAGGCCTTTCTCATCTCACATTTTTGTTTGTTGTTTTTGCTTGCAGTAGCATCCTCATCTCTATAGCATATTATTGTTGTCTGACCCATCGCGACCCCATGGACAACATTCCTCCAGGCCTTCCCGTCCTCCACCATCCCCCAGAGTCCACTCAAGCTCACGCCAACTGCTTCAGTGACTCCATCCAGCCACCTCATTCTCTGCCATCCCCTTCTTCTTTTGCCATCTATTGTTCCCAGCACTAGACTCTTCTCCAGGGAGTCCTTCCTTCTCATTAGGTGGCCAAACTATTTGAGTTTCATCTTCAGGATCTGGCCTTCTAAAGAGCAGTCAGGGTTGATCTCCTCTACGACTGACCAGGTTGATCGCCTTGCGGTCCAAGGGACTCGCAGGAGTCTTCTCCAGCACCATAATTCAAAGGCCTCAATTCTTCAGCGCTCAGCCTTCCTTATGGTCCAGCTTTCACAGCCATACATTGCAACTGGGAAAACCATAGCCTTGACTATACGCACTTTTGTCGGCAGGGTGATGTCTCTGCTTTTTAGTATGTTGTCTAGATTTGCCATAGCTTTCCTCCCCAGGAACAAGTGTCTTTTAATTTCTTGGCTGCAGTCCCCGTCTGCGGTGATCTTGGAGCCCAGGAAAATAAAATCTGTCACTAGCCAATGAAAGTACATTTTCCCAAAAACAGCATGGTTGGAGCAATAGTTGCTGGGGAAACATTTCTCAGCAGGAAATTGATCCAGATTGGGAGTGCATTTTCGGTTGGGACTCTGCTCTTGTTTTCTCCCCAAAATAGAAATGGCCATTTCAGGTACACTTATAGTCCTCAGACACAATGGATACAGTGATTGTTCACTCTGACTTGGGCCCAGCCTAATCTTAGAGATCCTGAAAGTCCTTCAGGTTCAGATGGACAGACTGCATGAGCAGTATCAGCTCATCTAGAGCCTTGCAGCACATTCCAGGAAACATTCCAGCCTGTAGCCCCAGTGATTCCACATAGAGCAGTAGCACTACTTAAAGCAAATGGTTCCCCGTTTTCTCTTGGCATCTTCTCAAACTTGCAGTAGAGCATATTCTTCACATGCAGAAGGCCCTGCATTCATTTCCTGACATCTCTAGTAGAGCTGAGAAAGACCCCTGCTTGAAACCCCGGAGAATCTCTGCCTGCCAGTGTCGACAGTATGGAAGTGGCCCAGGAGAAGGTGTGATCCATGTGATCTGTGTCAACATGCCCTACAACTTTTTCCAGAGCTCCTCTGTCTGCCAGTTTCCTCTGCCAGTGCTCTTTCCTGCATTTGTCATTTTTGAATCCTTGGGAAAATGGCACAGACCAATGCATTCAATGGTACTAAAAAAACAAAGAGCTCCAGCACGTCTTCATTTGAAACAATATTCCTGCTGCAGTCCAACCCCCCTTTCCTTTTAGATGCTGCAAGATCTGAGTTGGAGGGTCTGCCTCCCTCCGTATAGCTGTTAAGAACTTAATTGAGGAGCAGATAAGTGAGAGAGCTGTCAGTGCTGGAGCTTTTTATATCCTTGAAGCCTGTAATCCTTCGAGAGGCTAAATATTTGTCCTAATAGGGTGAAAGCAGATGGAATATTTTCAAAGGGTTGGAACTGGATTGCCACTGTTGCTGCTGTCCTCCAAACAAACATAAATATTTCTGTGCTTGAAGGAATGAGACAAAAACAGAAAAATGCAATTTTCCAACATGGTTGAACCAAGGGAAAGGTAGATATGGTAGATGCCTATTGCCCACTGCCTGTGAGAACGCCAATGTTCTTCCCTCTCCATCCACAGAGCAATTGTGATGGCTACACTGAGCCCTAAATCTGTCTCAGCTATGATTTGTGATAGCAGTGTGAAAGATGCAAGCAAGACACAATGTGTAGGCTGGTTGTTTTGTTCTGTTCTTTGAAATCTGGGTCCTCTGGCTGATCTTTTTTTTTTTTATTGATGTCCTTTCCTAGGAGGTCTCCACTGCCTGCAGGATCTCTACAGGTTCATTGCCCAATTTCCTTTTGGCCGCTAGTGTCACAGAGCAATGGCTCTATTCTAAATATGTAGGAAACAGGCATAGGGGAGGAAGCCTTGTCTCATTTCTGTCTTTTGCAGTTTCAGCATATGCCCCTCTCTATCCAACGCCAACGAGAAGAGCTGATGTTTGGGTTCAATCTGCAAAAGCTGCAATACAGAGTGCAAGAGATCCAGAAACTCCAAGAGCAGATGAATGGCAACACAAGAGGTGAGGCCAGAGCAGTTGAAAGATCTGCAAGGATGCAGTGAGAGTGTTGAAGGTACTGGACAAAGGTGGAGTTTTTGGAGTCAGGTTCTCCTTACATCTGTGCCCAGTTCACAGCAGGAACTACCAGGCAATCTGTGTGGCAGGGCTGCCATATTTTGGACCTGGGAATTTTAAACAGTCTCCCATGTTAGTGGATTAAAGCAAGTATGATCCCAAAGTTTTGTTATAACCAAGAAGATCCTGGCTAACAAATAATACAATCTGATTGTATTTTTTAAATACAGAGCTGGAATACAGGGCACAGTATCATAGCTCTTAATTAGTAATGTCACTGTTTGTTTGTTTGTTTGTTTGTTTATTTATTATATTTCTATCCCACCTTTTTCCTTCCAAGGAACTCAAAGTGGCTTTACATAATTCTTCTCCTCTTCTCAAACTTATCCTCACAAAAACAACCCTGTGAGGTAGGTTGAGTTGAGCGTTTGTGACTGGCCAAAATTCATTCAGTGAGCTCCATGGCTGAGTGGGAACTAGAACCCTACACTCTCAACCAGTACATCACACTGACTCTCAGCTTACAGTAGGTATAAGCAAAAATTCACCACACCAATATACATAGTACTTCTATAAAACATGCTTGATGTTGCTGTTGGCTAGCCTGTATAAGCTTCCCCTGCACAAATACATATTTTTAAAATTGAAGCTAACTTGAAATTTATTCTCCCTCTCTCTTTCCCCCACGCCCTTATCTGCACACACTCTAGAAAGCTATTTAACTGTATCTAAAACAGATTTTAGGAACATTGGATTCTGCTGGACAAAGCAAACATAATCAGTAGCTTATTAACTATAATAACTAATTATAATTATACTATAGTTATAGTAGTAGCTATGCCAGTGCAAAGGTCACTTTATCTTATACCCATTTAGTGCAGGAGGAGAAAAGAAAACCCAAAATGGCAGATATCCCACCGTGTCTGTGGAAAAACCAGCAGTAACCACCAGCAAGGGGGGGTGGGGCCGTTTATATTTATTTATTTAAAACTTTTATATGCCATCACCACATGCCTCGGCATCTCGGGACGGCTCACAACTCATACAATTAAAAACAATAAAAGAATAACAAATTCCATAAAAGATTATATAAAAACAAATAGAGCTACTGTAATGATACAATCTTAGTTTTTAAAATAGCAATTAAATAAAAAGGTTTTAACCTGCCGCTGAAAAGAATATAAACTCGGCACCAGGCTCACCTCTCCAGAGAGCGCATTCCATAATCTGGGGGCCACCATCAAGAAGGCCTTGCTTCTCTGTGGAGGGAGCCAATAAATTAAGGTTGACATGACATGTTTGCTACATGTACAGTGATGCTACACACACACTCACCACCACCCCATGCCCCACTCTGAGCTCCTGTGGCACAGACAGCAATGGCATCCTTCTGAAAGTCCTCAAACTTTCAGCCGCTCCTGGTGATCCATGTGGGCACAAATGATGTGGCCAGGCCGGGTGTGGTTGGGACCACCAGGGATGTTGAGGCCTTGGGGAAGAAACTCAGGGAGCTGAAGGCCCAAGTGTCCTTCTCCTCAATCTTACCTGTCCAGGGATTTGGGCCAGGAAGGGACAGGAGGGCCTCTGAGGTGAATGACTGGCTTAGGGTGCCAGAAGGAACGCTTCGGGTTCCTCGACCATGGCACTCGTTTTCTTGCCAATGGACTTCTGGCAAGGGACAGGTTACACCTCACGAGGATGGGGAAAAGGTCCTTTGGAGATGCTCTAGCAAGCTTCATCCGGAAGACTTTAAACTGAGCCGGGGGGGGGTCAGGCCCCCCAGTAGTGTGTCTGCACTGGACAAGTGTGGGGAGAGGATCAGGGCTCTGGGAGCAGGGTTTTAGAGATACTGCAGGGACTGACAGGACTCCTTCAGAGAGGGGCCAGGTATCAGGGAGGATGGGAGGAAGGAGGAGGCTGGGGACTCCAAGGAAAGGAAGTGGTGGGAAGGAATTGAGGTGCATGTACACCAATGCTAGGAGCATGGGTAATAAGCAGGAAGAGCTTGAAGCTCTCCTGGGAATAGGAAGGTATGATCTGGTGGGAATCACAGAAACTTGGTGGGATGAAAGGCAAGTCTGGAATGTGAACATAGAAGGGTATCACCTTTTTAGAAAGGAAAGGAAGGGAAAGAGAGGTGGGGGCATGGCTTTATATGTCAGGGAAGGGATAGGATGCAGTGAGATAGAATGCAGCACAGATGGGGATTTGGTAGAGGCAGTCTGGGTGAAACTTAGGGGTTTTGACAGGGAAAGAGACCTGACAGTGGGGGTATGTTATCGCCCTCCAGGTCAACTTGAGACCCTGGATGATGGCATGACAGGCCAGATTCTAAGGATGTATCGGGGGAGAGACACAGTAATTATGGGAGATTTCAATCTCCCGGATATTACTTCGGAGACTCACTTGGCGGTGACAGCCAGGTCACGTCGCTTCCTGAAAGCTATTCAGGGAGCGTTTTTCACACAGAGGGTCCGAGAGGTGACAAGGGGGGGAAACATCCTTGACTTGGTCTTGACCAATAGGGAGGAGCTGATAGATGAAGTACAGATTAGGGGAGCTCTGGATGTGAGTGATCACTCCATCCTTTGCTTTGAGATCAGGGGACTGCGGACGGGCAGCAGGTCGAGCACTAGAAGCTGGGACTTCAAGAGGGCCAACTTTGGCCAACTGAAGCCAAGACTGGGGAACGTTTCCTGGGATAGGTTACTGGAAGGTAAGCAAGTTGAGGAGGGATGGATAGCACTCAAAAGGGAGGTTTTGGAGGCACAAGCCTTGATGATACCTCTAGTCAGTAAGGTAGGGAGGCGGAGGAGAGTGCCGCCATGGATGCAAAAGGAGGTGGTTAGAGGGATTGGATGAAAGAGGAACCTCCGTAGGAAATGGGTACTGGGGGAAATAGACAAAAGGGTATACCGGGAGGAGGAGGCCCGTTGCAGAAGGATTCTTCATAAGGCTAAGGCTGATTACGAGCTGAGACTTGCCAAGAATATCAAGAGCAACAAAAAGGGCTTCTTTCAGCATGTAATAGGAAGAGGAAGGGGAGACAAGTGGTGGGACCACTAAATAAGGAGGAAGGAGATCCAGTGGCTGATATGAGGGAACAGGCACAGATGCTAAATGACTATTTTGCCTCTGTGTTCTCCCCAAAGCAGGATGGGGCATATCCGCATAGGAGATTAGATGAGTCTGGGGACTTAGGGGCACAGATTAGAGTCACCCCCCTTGAAGTCGAGGGGCTCCTCAGGGCATTGAACATTACAAAGGCACCAGGCCCTGACAGGTTACACCTGAGAGTACTTAGAGAGTTGGCAGGGGTTCTCTCACGCCTTCTGGCCTCCATTTTTGAGACCTCGTGGAGAACGGGTGAAGTTCCAGAGGACTGGAGGGTGGCATCAGTGGTCCCAATATTCAAAAAGGGTAGTAGAAGGGACATGGGGAATTATAGACCTGTTAGCCTTACGTCCATTGTAGGAAAAACAATGGAAAGGCGCATAATAGAGAGATAGTGATGCTAGATAGGGAAGGGAGGCTGACAGCCACACAACACGGCTTCCACAAAAACAGGTCCTGCCAGACAAACCTTGTGGAGTTCTATGACAAGGTTTCACAATGGCTAGATGGAGGGGATGCAGTGGATGTAGTATACCTGGATTTCAGCAAGGCCTTTGACAAAGTGCCCCATGATATCCTGGTGGAGAAACTGAGGAGTTTTGGGATACACCAAAGTACTGTCCGATGGATTAGGGCATGGTTGACTGACCGAAAGCAGAAGGTAACCATTAGTGGGGAATCATCAGGATGGTGGCCAGTGACAAGCGGGGTCCCCCAGGGCTCTGTCCTGGGGCCGATCCTGTTTGATCTTTTCATTAATGACATGGAAGAAGGGGTGAACAGTCTGCTGATCAAATTCGCAGACAACACTAAAACTGGAGCAGTGGCCACAACTGAGGAGCAGGTACTTCAGATCCAAAAGGATCTGGACAGACTATGGAAGTGGGCAGGAGACAACAGGATGGTGTTCAATGTGGATAAGTGCAAGGTCTTGCACTTGGGGCACAGGAATAGGTGTCATAAGTACAGGTTAGGTGATAAGTGGCTGGAGAGCAGCACTTGTGAAAGGGACCTCGGCGTACTGGTTGACTGCAGGCTAAACATGAGTCAGCAGTGTGATGCGGTGGTCAAGAGGGCGAATGCCACCCTTGGTAGCATAGCCAGAAGTGTGGCTTCTAGATCGAGAGAGGCATTACTACCACTCTACATGACATGTGCCCACAATTGGAGTATTGTGTTCAGTTTTGGGCCCCTCATTACAGAAAGGATACAGCCAGGTTGGAGTCAGTGCAGCGTAGGGCCACAAGGTTGGTGGCCGGTTTGCAGGGGATGGGGGATGAGGCGAGACTGAGGGAACTAGGTCTCTTCAGCCTGGAGGAGACTCAGAGGGGATATGTTGGCGACATACAGGTATGTGAGGGGTTGTCACATGGAGATGGGTAGAGACCTGTTCGCCCCTGCAGAGGAAGGCAGAATGCTCTCCAACGGAGCAAAGCTCAGGGAGCCAAGGTTTCGTTTGGATGCCAGGAAGCACTTCCTGACAGTCAGGACCCCGAGGGTGTGGAATGGGCTTCCACAAGAGGTCGTTGAGGCCCCATCGGTGCGGGTGTTCAAGGTTAGGCTGGACGTCCACATGGTGGGCATGTCGTGAGTGGAGCCGGCTGGTGCCGGAGGTCAGACTAGATGGCCCGGGAGGTCCCTTCTGACTCGCTCTGTTTTCTGTGTTTTCTAAACATGCTGGAGGTAGAGATTTGAGTCTCCTTGTGCCACACACTGCTTGCAGCTACTCTTTCAGAGCACATAAAGAGAAAGGAGAGGTTACACAACACAGAGCTCCTATGATAAGAAGTTTTCAAAGGGTACCCAAGGATGTTCCTCTTGAGTCTTAGAACCAAGATGAAAGATACATGTACTCCCTTTGTATGCAGCAAGAGAGAAGAACTAGAAGATGCAATAACAACAATTCACTGGTAACTCACTGCATTGGCCATGGTGCTGAGAAGCAAGAAGTCTGAGTTTGAGCTGCACAAACAGCAATTCTGAGCAGTAGGAATAGCTCACTTTCGCATGTCTAGCCCAAAAGCAGCCATGACAGGAGCAGAAGAGACTGTGTTTCTTGAGCTCTGACCCACTTTGCTCATGTCACTGCCCCAGTCTCGCGCACATACACAAGCTAGTATTTTGATGGAGGAGACTCCAAATCAAGGAGACGTGTTTTATTTCAGCAAATCCCATGGCAAAAAGTTGATGGCCACATTCTTCAGAAATCACATAGCTGGTGACATTTTGCTGTAGGTTCCAAATGTAATTCCACAGCATTCTAACACCAACCTCTTTTCCATATCAGAAATCTATACAATTTGGTTTCCCAGCTGTAGCATCTGTAGCTCAGGATACAAGGGAAGCAGATTGAATGCTTCCTGGTTTCCTATTTGCAGGGGTTCATAGGAGTGATCTGTGCATTTCCTTTTTCCTCTTGAGACAAGGAAAGAGGTGTTAATGATCCTGGTGGAAACATCAAAAGACATGTTTGAAGAAGAAGACATGACCCAATCCCCCCCCCCCCCCCACCCCCGCCACACACACACTGCTAGCTTTGCAAGCTACAGTCGAGACTTTGTGTTCTTTGGGTCCAGGCCCCTGATTCTAAGAGTCCAAAAACAAGATAAAAATACATCCAAAGTAATTCTACATATGCAGAGATGTTGATGTCCAAAGCCCCCATTAATGGAATCTCTGTACCACAAGGATCCAGGCATAGAAAGGCCAGGAGTCAGTATTAGTCCTAAGCCAGCTGGTTTCTGGGCTCCGCAGTACTGAAGACACATCATCCATTATCTGAAAGAATGTACAAAGCAAAGTACGACTGCCCTTCTCATGGGAGCTTCTTAGCAATAAAAGTCCAAATAAGTAAACATGCAAATTTAAGTAGAACTCCAAGTTCAGAGTGCTTCAATTGGTAATAGATGCAAAGAGGATACTGGCAGTGAAGGCAAGAATGTTTCTAGTGGAAACTTCAAAGGCTGGACATTGACTTGAAAGTGTGGCTCTGATAGTTGCCCTACCAGCTAACAAGGGAATTTGCCCATCGTGGAGGTTTCTGTCCAAACAGAGTGTCCCCTTCTTACCCTTCATGGATGATGCTGCAACCTATGTGTCAGGAGCCACATTTCTCCCTCAAACCAGTACCAGTCTCATACCATTTCTTTCCTTAATAATCTTTATTGTTTCACATAAATCTGAGCATTCACAAAGTAGTATGTTGAATCCTATCTACTGCACATTTCTTGAAGCTCTCCCTGTTGAACCCATCTGCACTCTGATCCTGAAGAAGGTGTGCTGTGGAAATGGGTATGCCTGTTGCACCCCTAGCTGGGCTTCTTGCTGGTGTTGGCACTGAGCCACCGGGTCCATCTGTGAAGGGGAGGGTTGGTTTCCATTAAAAGATCTGTTTCAACATCCACTCCTACGGGCTGTATTTCCCCATCATTCCCATGGTCGGTATGATCTGCATCCCTGTCTGCCCTTGGGCTAATCTTTTCCACTGCCTCCCGCAGCCAAGTCCCAGGACCTTGGTTTCCCATCTGTGAGCCATCGCTTGTGGCTGCACAATCTTAGCAGAAGTTTAATCCTCTGAATCTGAATAATTAAAAATAGCACAGTTAGCCTCCCATGAGCATGACAGAGTTTTTACAGTATGTGTGAGCAGGGTGATATGTGACACTACTGCAAACTACTCCCTCTAATGTTTGATCACACAGAGTTTGTCAGCTTCCATTCTTGCCAAGACTGGAATTGCAGCTGGATGGATAAAGTATCTTGACCTCTTCCTACTTTCCTATGAGAACAGTGATGGAGATAAATACACACTTACCTTGATATTCCACAGACTGACTAGGCCCAAATCCTTCCAGAGTACTTCTGGTCATATTCTAGCTAAAAAGTCTCAAGATCCACTGGAGCATTGAAGCTGGGCCCCAAAAAAATAATCACAGAGAAATTTCCTACACATTCAACCCCAACATTAAACAGGAATCAGATACATTATGGGGCATTGGTTTTCCCTCTGACCAAGTCATACACAATAGACTTACATGGGCTTCTGAAAGAACAAACTGTGTTTCCCAAACCAGAGGTGGCCCCTGCCTCAAATTCAAGGTACAATCCCATGGTAAACAAAGTGGGGAGGGACTCCACATATCAAGGCACAACTGAGGCAATTAGGAGAAATGCCGGGAGCAAGAGTTTGACTCCTGCATGAACCAACCAGCAACCCATGTGACCTTCTTTCTGTTTAGTTTCCTTCCTATTCTTGGCAAACTGTCTTCCAGCCAGTACTGTCAGCATTATTAAGGAGGTAGATGGATCCATTAAGTTCAGTCAAATGTTTTTCCATACCTCAGGGTTTATAGATTGAGATGCTTCTGACAAAGCCAGGTAGAAAATCCTGAATTAGTGCTTATGTGATAGCCTTTTTGTGTCTCAAGATTGCCTATGAGTTAATTCTGACTTTGTGATCCTCAGCTTCTGTGCAGGTAAACACACTGGACCTGCAATTTCCAACCCAAGAAAACCTTCAAGGGGCTGTGAGTAATCTCTCTGATATGATAGTCCATTCATTCTGTTTTATTTATATCCTATTTTTCTGCCATCTAATTAGGGATGTATGAGAAATTAATTTTAATTCATTTTTATTAGGTTTCACTCAGTTTGCACCTTCTGAACTTCACATGGACTTGGATGCAACCTTTAGCTGTTCTGAGCTTGCTACATGATTCCCTAGATCAAAAATATGTGTTCCATGCCATGCATACATTTGGAAAATGTGCATAAAAAATAGGTGCATATTTGTGCCTTAATCAATGGGAGAATAATGTGTACATTTGAAAAACTATGCATGAAAATATGCACAGATTTTCAATTTTTAAAAAGCTCACAGTCTGATATAGACCTGTGTTGGAAGAAGCTTTGACATGAAATTTGGCGAAACAAAGTTTTCTTTGTTTACACAATCAGTCCCTAACTCTACATCTAAGTCCTCAAGGCAGATTGCAAGCATACTTTCAACAATATTATAAAGTACAGTAAATTAAATTTTAAAAGCAATCTAACAATACCAAAACTTACATAAGTATTATAATATGTGATGAATTGTATTTTAATCTAGATTTACTGTGTATGTTTTAATGGATTCACACCTGGCTGCTTCCATGGGGTTGCCTGGGCAGCGCGTGGGCGCCACCATTGGGGTGGTTATGGGCAATGGTCGTTATGGCGTTGGGGGTTTAACGTGTTGGTATAGAAGAAGGAGGGACAGATGGTTGACACCTGTTCCTCCTCCTGGTTATTCCCCCAGCTGGAAGGTTCCGGGTATGCTTATCAACCGCCCCGCGGGCCTGATGGTGCTGTTACTTAATGCCAGGTCGGTCCATAATAAAACATCCCTCATCCACGACCTAATTATGGATGAGGGGGCTGACCCGGCTTGCATCACAGAGACCTGGGCGGGAGGGAGGGGATGTGTCTTTCTCTCTCAACTGTCTGTCCGGATATCTGGTCCAGCACTAGCCACGCCCAGAGGGGAGGGGAGGGGGGGTCGCTTTAGTTCATCAGGCTTCATTAACCCATGCAGGGCTTCCTGTTCTCTCGAGACCGGGTCTAGAGTGCCTCTACCTGGTGCTGGGCGACCGAGACAGATTGGGGATTCTGCTGGTATACCGTGCACCCTTCTGCCCATCAGACTCCCTGCCTGAGCTGACGGAGAATGTCTCGGACCTGGTGTTGAGGACTCCCAGGATGCTGGTCCTGGGGGACTTCAATCTCCATGCCGAGACTGGTCTGACCGGGGCAGCTCAGGACTTCATGGCCTCCATGATGGCCATGGGGCTGTCACAACATGTCATAGGCCCAACCCATGAATGTGGACACATGCTGGACCTGGTTTTCTTGACGGGGCAGGAAGAGGGTGATCTGAGGGTGAGCAATTTACATTTGATTCCCTTGTCATGGTCAGACCACTTCCTTGTGAGGTTCGAGCTCGATGGAGGCCCTTCCCTCTGTAAGGGTGCGGACCCTATTGTCTTGGTCCACCCTCGGAGCTGGATGGATCCGGATGGATTCCTGAAAGCTCTGGGGGAGTTTCTGGTTGATAAAGCTGGCGCTCCTGTTGATGCTCTGGTTGAACTATGGAATAAGGAAATGGCCAGAGCTATTGACACGATCGCTTCTAAGCGTCCTCTCCCACCTGGCAGTGCCTGTTCATCCCCTTGGTATACACCTGAACTATGGGTGATGAAGTGGGTTGGGAGATGGCTAGAGCGTAGGTGGAGGAACTCTCGGGATGAATCTGACCAAACACACTTAAGAGCTCATTATCGAGCCTATGCTGTGGCAGTGAGGGCGGCGAAGAAGAAATTCGTCTCCACTTCCATTGCCTCCTCACAGTGCCGTCCAGCGAAGCTTTTTCGGGTGGTATAGGGGCTGGTACATCCAGGCCCTAAGAAAGATCCTGTACCACCCTCGATAACCCGCTGTGACGACTTTGCCCAGCACTTCAAGGAGAAAGTTGCTCAGATTCGTCACGAGCTGGACTCCACTAGTGACTCAGATTCCATAGGAGAGGTGCCAATGTTACCGTCTGGTCACATATTATTGGATGAGTTTCAATTATTGCAGCCTGATGATGTGGACAAGGTGCTTGGACAGGTACGTCCCACAACCTGTTTACTTGACCCTTGCCCATCGTGGCTACTGTCCAAAGCCAAACACGGGATTGGTGCCTGGATCCTGGAGGTCATCAACGCCTCTCTGAGGGATGGCTGGATGCCTGCCTCTCTAAAGGAGGCAGTGGTTAGGCCAGTCCCAAAGAAGGCGTCCCTGGATCCAGAGATGGCCGCCAATTATAGTCCGGTGGCCAACATCCCATTCTTGGGCAAGGTGTTGGAACGGGCGGTGGTGGGACAACTCCAAGCTCTCTTGGATGAGACTGATTATCTGGACCCATTTCAGTCCGGCTTCAGACCCACGTATGGTACTGAGTCTGCCTTGGTCGCCCTGTATGATGACCTGTGCAGGGAGAGAGACAGGGGGAGTGCATCCCTGTTGGTTCTCCTGGACCTCTCAGTGGCTTGGTATCCTCCTGGAAAGACTGGCGGGATTGGGAGTAGGAGGCACTACTCCATATAATTCTGAGCTAGTTTCTAGGTTTGGTCTTTCTTTCTTTCTTTCTTTCTTTCTTTCTTTCTTTCTTTCTTTCTTTCTCACACAACATAAAGAAAGCTCTGTGTATAATGTTCATCATATAGGTTTTACCACTACATATCTAACTTATGTGGACTATGCTTATCATTTTCTCCATCTCTTTCCTTATATAGTCTCCCCAAAATCTTCAAACTCTGTTTCTGAATACGGTTGGTGAGCTGGAAGAGGCAAAGAAATGTCTGTTGGTGAGACTTCTGATCTGGAAAAGGCAGCAACAGCTGGCTGGAAATGGAATGCCCTTTGATGAGGACTTGACTCCTCTGCAAAAGAGGTGAGCAATGCAGTAAGACTTTAGTTTTGCATCATTGCAGTTGGAGAGTGCCAACTCTGGATGTGTTGAGCGTTTTCCTTCGCAGGCTGCAAAGGAATTTTAAGATATAAATATTCTCACCATCCTTTGGTGCTGCTCAAACAAAAAACTAAGCTATAAAATGGACAAAGTGATAGACTTACTTTCCTGTGATGGCAGAAAATTGTGAGTTGACACAGAACTCACTGCAGTGCTTACCAGGTGTGCTCCATCGCAGCCTATGTTTGGGCTTAATAGGGATTACTGTGGGCCATTCAGATCTGGAAATTATAGGTTAATCATGGGTTAACAATGCTGTTTGCATAACTACCAATTGTTGGTTATCTGTGGGTTGTTCAACCTGTGATTAGCCTATAGGGTATTTGCACAAAACAACAAGAGAGGGTGGTTTCTTGTCCAGGATGGTCTGATGTGTCATCTGAATCCTCTCATGGTATTTCAGCATCATATACTTACCTTTTAGAAACCGCAATACAAAACAGAGGTTTCTTCTTTGGGTTCCATACTTCACCATGGTTTCTCTGGACATCTGAACCTAGCATCATTGTTTTCATTGTCCTGTCTTGGAGCTATACTTAGTACCATGGAAAAAATGGCAGCTACAGGAGCCATCCAGCATGGAATTGAATTTCAGGCCTGGTAGTTGATGGGATACATGCCAACAGCAGGAGGATTGAAGGGAGGTAGAGACCATGCTAGTGTAAGAAAGCAGTCAGGCACATCCAGACAAAAAACTGTACCATGATAATCATGCAGGTTTCCTTGACATGATGTGTGAATTCAATCTTAGTGTCCATGTTAGGATGACATCTAGTAACCCTTGATCAGTCCTATTGTGACTGCATGTTCAAAATGACTACAGTACATGCCTGGCACTCTCTGTAGCAAATTGTGGGATAATTTGCCACAGTTTGCCATCATTACATGCAAACCAGTCCAGAGTGTCTCATGGAACCACCTACTCTGATCATTGTCTGTTAATATACTTAGTACATTCTGAGTATGTTGGATATAGTTCCCTGTTTTCCTTTTTCACACCCAAAAAGGTATATGTCCCATGCACAAAAGCAGAACAAAACATAAAATTCTGTGCCTAGGTAGTTCAAATTCTCTGACATAAAAAGCTAACTAGCTGTATAAATTATGCAAATAGAGCAGATTTCATAATTATCTGTCTTTTCTGCTTGTTTGTTTGTTTTTACTATTTCCTATAATTTATTCTGGTTGTACTAGCCATGTGGGGGCATCAAGAGGTATACAGGTACTGAAAGCACAATCTTAGCCACTCTGAATCTTTTTCAGCAATTCATCTGATGTCCTGAGATATCAAGATGCATTGCTTCCTCACTTTTAGGTCTACCTTTCCATATGTAAGGGCAAGAAACATGTAAATATATTACTTAAAAGTTTAGCTCAGATAGGTAAACTCTTCACACTGTACATTCAGTGTCCCACAAAATTGCAGCATAACATGCAATCCTAGTTAGACAAGATAGTTATTATTAGGAAGCTGCTGGCTGCCTGACTGGCTTGCCAACTAGCTAGGATTATTAGTATTATTATTGCATTATATTTCTATACCTGCTTTCTGGGTGGTCCCTCTAATCCAGCAGTTTGTAGCCCTGGTGGTGTTTTGGCCTACAGCTCCCATCATTCCTCACCCTTAGCTATGCTGGCTAGGGCTGATGGGGCTGTTATGCCAAAATGTTCAGAGGGCCACAAGTTGCCCACCCGTGCTGAAAACCTTGATACCTCAGGGACATTCTTAAAGCTGGATGTAACCATGACTGTTGCAACATGTATAATCTTGGATTGGTTGTGGAATGTTGGTGTGTGTTTGAGAAATGCAAACCCTCACTGGGTGCTTTTCTTGGCAGGCTTGAAAACCTGGTGGATATTTGTTTCCAACTCCGTCTGCAGTTGGCACCCTCTGGAATTGAGCTGCAGTCTCGTCTTCAGGAACGTCTGGATAATATATTCAGTGGCCTCATCAAAAAGTAAGGCAAGTTCCTGCCTAGAACACCAAGATCTGAAGGGGAATATAGTATAATTCCTCCCTCCAGCCTCATGAGTTGTTCTCCTCCTTCTCAGTAACTCACAGATCAGATAACAGATTCTCAAATGCTTTGTGGCCACAAAACGAACATGTCTCCTGTCAAGGCCCAGAGCAGATGTCTCCACAGAATATATCCATAACTGGGAAGAATAAGCATAAGACTTGCCCTGAGTGTAATGTCTGTCAAATGGGCAGGATGTGGTTATTGCAGGTCTTTCACCAATTCAGGGAAATAACATTCAGGGTTGTTCAGTCTCCTAATATTGCCTGTATCTTTTCTTTACTCTCATTTTTCACCAACCAGTCTTTCAACTTATTAATATGTTTATTCTTCAATATTTTCCCCAAACTACCCCTCAGATTTTTTGAAAATTCTTTTAATTCTGTAATTGGACATAATGGCAAAATTGATGGCACAAATACATCTCTATTTATTGTAAATTTGGGCCACATTCTTTAAAATATGTTTTAATTTTAATAACTTAATGTTTTAATAGGGTTTACTATCTTTTAAATTAATATTTTTATCCTGGTGAAGGAAAATATTTAATAAGGATCCCTCAACCATACTAAATTTGAAGATATGATTGTATAGAAAGAAAAACAAGATAACATGTGGATGAGAGGAATGACAAGTAAAATTTATAACATACTAGTAGAAGGGGAGGACAAATATGATCATCTTAAAGAGTTACGGGAAATAGACTTAAGAAAAGATATTAGTACTGAAGACTTTGGTTTTTTGGCTTGTTTCATTTCAAAGCCATTTGAAAAGCAGTTGAATATGTGATTACTGTGACCCAGCCTCATGAGTGCTGTTTTTGCATATTTCAGTTTTTGGTTGTGATCTCTCTCTCTCTCTCCAGATCATTTCTTGTGGACAAACAGCCCCCACAAGTTCTGAAGACTCAAACCAAATTTCAAGCCACTGTCCGCTTCTTGCTGGGGCCTCACTTGCTCAAACCTCCGCATACATCCTTTATGGTCTCAGCTGACATTGTGACAGAAAAACAGGCACGAGAGCTAACCACCAGCCATTCTGGGGCTATCTTCAGGTGAGTGAAACCACAGCAGCTGTGCTACCAGACTTCCTGTGGCTTAGTTTATTAATTTATTTTAAAAAACAATTTAGGCACTCTTTGGTATGGGCAGGCAATCAAATCTCTTAAAATATGGATTCTAGGCAGAGTGACAAAACCCAGCTTCCCTCTGTTTTGAACACACAATTTTCAGAAGGTGTGTGTGACCTCTTGAGAGGTATATAGAAGAGATGAAACATTTGAGCAATCCTTTCCGCCCTGCGTCCATCTCTTTTACTCCATTCTTCATTGTGCAGCGAGTGTCTTATGCCTGACACATTCCAAAATGCCAAGGCTTGTTTATGAGCATTGCTAGAAAGAACCTTTGGAAACTGAACCAGAAAATATTTGCAAAACCTCCCTTTGGGCCCTAGGATAAGGATCTTCCAATAAGAATTTCCACAGCAATAGCCCGTTGCTGCAAAAACAATGAAGAATGATTCATGTAAAGACTAACAGATTCATTCTGGCATAAGATTTTGTGGATATTGTCCATCACATCAGATAAATGAAGTGTTGATCTGAAGTTAGCAGTTTACACATCTGTTGAAGTTGGCAGTTATCCCACAATATATTTGCTCATCTTTAAGGTGCCATGAGATGCTTTTTTTTTTCCAATAAGAATGTTTGCTGGACACGCCCTTTTTGTATGGTGTTTTCTCATTGTGGTGTCACATCTGTATGAGAGCCAGTGTAGCATAGCCACTGTTGGCTTCAGACTTGGGAGACCTGGATTTTAGTCCTAATTCAACTCACTGGGTGAGTTTGGCCAATCACTGACTCTCAGCCTAACCTACCTCACAGGGTTGTTGTGAGGATAAAACAGGGAGAAGAAAGAGGAGGATTATGTAAGCCTCCTTTGGTTCCTTGCAGGGAAAAGGTGGGATATAAACATAGTAAATAAATTCATTTGTGTGGAGTACTTTGAAGAGATCATAGGAGCCATTGATGTTCTTCTCAACCCTGCTATACACATAAGTGGAAATGGTACCCATCCTAATTTTGTTCCTGGCACACTTTGAGAGGGTCAGCCAATTAAAATCATTGTTGCCATACCCACAAGTGGAGCCTGTATCTCAAAGCTGGGTTGGTCGGAAATGTCATCTTCCTGAGTACTCTCTGGGCTTCTCTTGTGGTTTTTAAAATACTTTATTATAAACAAAGATTATCTTCATGCACGAAAACTGAAGCATCAACATTTTCCAATATTCCCACGAAATACAACTCAGAATAGCTAGCTAGTATATTACTAGATAAGTAAGAAAACAGAAAGTAACACATTTCATAACTTAAATGGATTATTACAAGGAAAAGGTTTTATATCTGCCAGTGCCCAAGTTGTACCCTTCTGAAGTCAGTAGCAGGGTGACCTGATAATAGAAAAATAGCTTACCTTTCATCTACCATCTTTTAAATGGACATATTCTGTTAACTTTGTCTTTAGTGCAATCTTTCAAACTTTACACAGTTGTCCTTTCAAAGTGAAGATAAATCTGCCCCTTCAGTTACTGAAAACCAAAGTCTTAGCAGCTGTCAATAGATCCCAAACCTTTATTTATTTATTTATTTATTTATTTATTTATTTATTTAGGTTAATCTATATAACCAAGCAGGATTGTTAAAGGGTTAGTGGCTATGCAAAGGCATGTCATGACTGATCCTGTTCCATAAGCTTTTTCCAAAAGTTATTAATTAGAGGATATTTCTACCAGATGAACATAAAACTAGTTTTGTTATTTTCACATTGCAACACCTATTTTTCCAGCTGAAGCCATAGCAGCAGCCTGCTTACAGCAGGAGGCTCCAGTGTGGAGAGAGCAAAGGGAGGATTGGGGCCACCATGGCCTATTAGTCTGTGGCAGTACAGGTTCTTGAAATGCAAAAACAGAATGGATCTCATTAATGCTGATTGGGGGCAGAAAAACTCCTGAAAGGCAGCTACTGAGCAGCAGCGGTAGTTGAAGGTAACACAGGTAGAAAACCTTTCACAGACTATAGCAGTGACATTCAAGTTAACTGGTTAGTACTGTGCAGAAGGAGGATGTGGTAATCCACTTCTGAATTGTCTTACCTTTTAAAACCTATAATGAAACAATCTAAAATGAAACAAGAGATAGCACCAGAAGATGAGACCCCACCCCTGCCCCAGGTTGAAAGGCACTTTTTGAGCTACCAGGGAAGGACAAAGGACAAATGATGCTACCAGATCAAAACCAAAAGGAAGTCTTAATGGCTGAGATGCCTAGAGGTGAAAGGCTGATGCTCCACAATGCATACAGTTGGGACATGGAACGTGAGAAGTATGAATCAAGGAAATCATAGAGCCAGAAATAGAAAGAATGGATGGCACAGTGCTTGGAGTGAGCAAGCTAAAGAGGAATGGAATGGAATGGAATGGAATGGAATGGAATGGAATGGAACGGAACATTTCCAGTCAGACAAACGCAAAGTTTGAAAATGACAAATTCACAAAGAATGAAGTGGCTCTAATACTGAGGCAAGTTGTAGCACAGGCAATAATAATGCAACATCCAACTGAATAAATATCAATCAGAATTAGTGGAAATCCTATCAACATAACCATCTTTCGAGCCTGTGCTCCAACCACAGATGCTGACGAGGAAGAAATCGAAAACTGCCATGCAAGGATTCAAGAGGAAACTGATAGCATAGCAGAACAAGACATGCTGCTAATCTTAGGTGGCTGGAGTTCAAGGTAGGAGTCAAAGCAGGATCAAATTTTGTAAGAGAAATGAAGCAGGAGAACAACTTGTAGAATTTTGTGAAGCTATTAACTTGCTCATTACAAACACATACTTCAAGCAGCTGCTCAGACAACTGTATACATGGACTTCACTACTTGGCCAATGTGGAAATCAAATACATTATGTAATTGGAATAGGAAATGAAGAAGCTGTATTCTTGCTGCCAATACAAGACGAGGAACAGACTGCAGTAGTAACCATCAGCTCTTAATTTCAAAAATCTGAGTCAAGTTTTAAAAGATTGAATAGAAACAGTGCTGAAATGCAACTATAATATATTCCCTGAAGAATATATAGTCCATGTAAAGACTTTATATTCCTTATATCCCAAGGAGGGAGAGGCTGCAAAGAGGAGGGCCTTTTCTGTGGTGACGTGCCAATTATAGAATACTCTACCACTAAAGATTGCCAGGAGCTTACTGTAGCTTCAATAGTGTTTCAGGCACCTGGCAAAAACTTTCCTTTTCTGGCACCATATAGATTGTCTACATCAGTACACAGTTTTTAATTATATTAGTGTATGCTTTATTTTATTTAATTGTTTTATTGTGATTTGTTCTGTTTATTTATTATGATATATTAATTGTATTATTTTATTAATATTATTTGTTGATGTTATATTGTAATGGCCACCCAGAGAGCATGTTGCTAATGGGCAGCTTTTAAACAAATTTAATAAAGAACAGATTTGTATTGCTCAACATAATTGATTGTGAGCCAGAATAAATGTGGACTGAAACCAGAGTCATTATTAGAGATGACTGTCAAAAGATAAGTCCTGTAGCCAAAAAAAAAAAAAAAAAAAAAAGGTGCAAAGAAATAGAAGAGAGCAACAAAAGGGTAAAAACAAGAGTCTTCTTCTGGAAGGTCCAAGAAATCAAAGGGAAATTCAAACTTAGATTAGGAATGCTAAAAGACAAACAAGGGAACATACTATTTAACCAGGAGGAAAAAAAGAGAAGAAAATACAGAAGAACGATGCAGAAGAGATGAAAGGATGCCAGACTTCTTTGAAGTGGAAGCATATGAAGAACAGCCTGAAATATTAGAAAATAAAGCGAAAGATGCTCTGAAAGCAACAGTAAGGAATAAGGCACCTAGAGTAGATAGGATATCAACAGAGCTATTGCAAACTGCAGAAAATAATTCAGTCCAAATCCTAATTATAATATGTCAACCAATAAGGAAAACAAAACAATGGCCTTCAGAAATGCCAGACAGTCCAAAAAGGAAGAGGCACCAAAGATCATATGCAAATATTTATTGGCTACTGGAGCGCACTAAAGAATTTCAGATGTTTTATAGCCTACAGAAAAGCCTTTACTGTGTGGATCATATGGAGGGTCCTGAAAGAAATGGGCGATCCTCAGCACATGATTGTCTTGATGTGTAACCTGTATCATGGACAAGAAGCTATTGTTAGAACAGAATAGTTATTTAAAACATTTCTATGCCGCCCCCATCGCAACAAAGCCTCGGGGCGGCTCACAAAGAATACATAAAGACATACGTAAATAATAATAATATAACAATTAAAAAATATGGAGAAATAGAATGGATTCCTATAGGCAAAGATGTCTGACATGAATGTATAGTACCTTCCTGTTTAATCTGTATGCAGAACATAAGGAAAATTCTGGGCCCAATTCAAAGTGCTGGCATTTATGTTTAAAGCCCTAAACCTAAACACTTTACTTGAAGGAATTCCTTGCTCCATTTGTTACTACCTGGACCCTATGATCTTCCACAGAGGTTCTTTTCAGAGAACTACCCAAAAAACAAGTAAGGGGGTGATACTTCCCAGCAGTTGCACCCCTTCTTTGGTGCATGCTCCCCAAGGATGATCCTTGTTTTCTTTTTCGCACTAGGTGAAGACCTTTTTATTTCCCAGATATTTTAACAGATAAGATCCATTTTAACTTTGTTTTTATTACTTGCTGCTATAGTGTCCACAAATTTTATGCTGTATGTTGTCAACTTTTACAATACTGATGTTATAGTTTTTGTTTATTTAAATTTGATTATTGTACTGTTGTTATTTTATTAGTTTTAAGATTTGTTTGAAATCCACCCATGCTCGCTGGGTGGCCATTACAATAAAGGTACCAATAACATAAATAAAATGATACAATTCAAATATCATAATAAATAACAAGATAAAGTCATATATACATCATCAAGAAAAAATAAAACATAAATTAATATATTAAAATCAGTGCAATTAATATAGATGATATAAACGGTGCCATAGGTACATGGGAAAGGAAAGGTTTTTGTCAGGTACCTAAAACTCAAGTTGGCACCTGACAAATCTCTGGTGGTAGAGTGTTCCCTATTTGGGGTTCCACAGCAGAAATATGTTTTATGTTTTCACAATTGTAACCTGCCCAGAGAGTCCAAATGGGCTGTGGGGTGGTATAAAAAGGTAATAAATAAATAAAGTAATAAGTATTAAAAATCAGAGGAAGGGGAGAAATTTGGTGGAAGAATTACTTAAGATATGTAGATGATACCATACTGCTGGTAGGGAGCATCAATTACTTGAAACAGCTGGATTTTAAGAAAACAAATATCTTGTCCACAGAGGAATTACAGAACTTGATTGTTAATAATGAAGAAATCAAAATTGTGAAAGATTTCACATGTTCAGTCATTAATTCAAAGGGAAACTGCAGCCAAGAAATTTGAAGACTGAAGCTTGGAAGGGCAACAACGAAGGAGCTAGAAAAGATCATAAAGTTTAAGCACTTTTTAGTGGAGAACCAGGGCCAAGATCATCCATCATTCCCAATAACAAGATGTGGGCATGAAAGCTGGACAGTAAAGAAAGCTGATAGGAAGAAAATGGATGTGTTTGAAACATGGCACTGGAGGAGAGCTTTGCAAAAACCCTGGACCGGCAGAAAGACAAGCAAGTAGGTCCTGACCAAGCTTTCCCTAGAAGCAAAAATGGCAAAACTTGAAGCTGTCATTCTTTGGACACATCATGAGAAGGCCGGACTCACTGAAGAAGACTTAGGGAAAGTTGAAGGCAGAAGACAAAGGAGCAGATGAAACATGAGAGACTGAGTCCCCGGGAAGCTGCAGCCTTGAACTTGGAAGAGATTAATTGAGCTCTCATGGACAGGACATTCTGGAGGACTTTTATTCAAGAGGTCACCATAAGTCAGAGATGACTTGATGGCACATAGCAGCAGCAGCAGCACCTTTCTTCACTGTTGTAAAATGTGGCTCAGTCAATTAGGTATCAGATCATATTGATATATTATTTTATAGTGGTCTTTTTATACTGTATAGGATAAACATGCTGAGCCTTGTAAAAATATTTAGTTCCACACCTGTGAGGTAAATAGATGGACAATTTATTTTTCCCATCTAGTGTGAAATAGTTACCTTTATCTTCAGCTCTCTGTGTACCTAACAAACAATTCTGTGTTATCAATGCTTTCTACTTTTTCCATTTGTAAGTTAATTGCTCGAAGAGAGTTAGATTTGACTTCAACACAGAATTGCAAATGTTTGAATATGTGTAGGAACTTAAGTATGTCGCAGTTTTAATAGTAAGGTAACAGAAAACACACATCAGTTAGATGGTCTAACTCTGACTGATGGTCTAACTATGAATAAAGTAGTTTTCTCTACTCCTTCCTATTCAGTGGACTCAGTGAATTTCTCTTTTGCAAGACTAAGGCTAACATACTACCATATATTTTAAAGAAAGAAACAGGCTTTACAGCAGGCTCTCCCCATCACCCTGTACAAAGCAAGTCTTTTTTTTACCCTTAGTGGTGTTTCTCTGGCTGTTTATACCATGCCCTAGACTGAATTGTGGTTTGGCATAAGCCGTTCTGAAAATAATAGATTTGTTGCAAGCTGTGTGTAATTATTAACCACTTCCTGATAGTGGAAGCTCATATTTATGCACTGTCTCTTTTGGATCAGTGAAAGCTCTGGAGAAATTGTGAACAACACAGCTCCTTTGGAGACGAATGTCACAAACAACACGTGTTGTGCTCTCTTCAAGAATATGGTAAATGCAGCTATTTTCATCATCATCATCATCATCATCATCATCATCATCTTTATACCACCCAGTAGACTCAGGGGGAGGCAGGGAAGGATGGCCCAATGAATGGATAGAAGAGGTGTCAACTAGTA